CTCTCCTCCGCGTAGTCGCCAGTCGGCACTGACTGGCGGATGGAACTCGGAGGAGGCCCAATCTGTGCGATCTGACAGACTTTACTTACCAAGGAAAATAAGTGGGCATGGAATGTTGCAAGTAAAAAGGGCACTGGGAGGATCTCTGAAGGACAGTGAAGAAGATGCAGTGAAACGAGTATATCGGGAAGGCTTAGCAACTACTGGAGAGACCAGACTGGTCTGCAAGAAAGACCAAATGAAGAATAGAAAAGGGGCATGGAAAGACAAGGCATTGTGTGGCCGCTACATTAAAGACACATTAGGCAAAACAGGCAACAACAAGACGTGGCTATGGCTAAGAGCAGGGAAGTTGAAGGAAGACACAGAGGGGCTGATTCTGGCTATACAAGCCTTACGCACAAATGCACATCAGGCCACAGGCAAGAGGTAGCCTATGAAAAGAAGCTGGAGAAACAGTGGACCACTTGGTTAGTTGCTGCAAGAAGATTGCACAGACTGACTACAAGCAATGACAAATGGCAAAATAGCAACACTGATACATTGGAAGATTTGCAAGTGATGCCCCTGTGCCTATAAACAGGAACTGGTGGTAATGGAATAAAGCAGTAGACAAATAAAGTAATAGAAAATGAAGAAGCTAAAGTGGAACCTGGAACCTAGAATTCAAACAGACAGGCATCTGACTCACAACACCCCAGACTTAACAGTTGTCCACAAGAAGGACAAAAACCATCTGAATACTGGATGTGACAGTACCTGGAGACAGCGGAATAAAAGAGAAAGAACTGGGAAGATAGCAACATATGAAGGCCTGTAAATAGAAATGGAATAACTGTGGCAAACAAGAGCAGAGATGGTATCAATAGGCCTTGGGTACAATCCCAAAACAACTTGAACACCAGGGGTATTGGCAAATTCACCATAAGTCCATTGCAGGAGGCAGCTTTTCTTGGAACAGCTGACATCCTGTGATGATATCTGTAACACCATCAAACTCCGGCCTGTCCCAGATCCTTGCGAAAGAACCGATAGGTGGATAGAAAATGCCAAATCAAATCTGAACATCTGGCTGACTGTGCAAAGAATGGTAAATAAATAACAAACTAGGTTTTTGATAAGGTAAAGGTTTCCCTGTCCAATCGTGTCTGGCTCTGGGACATGGTGCTCACCTGTTTCTTGGCTGAGGAAACCAGGGTTGTCCAAAGACATTGTTCGTGGCTATGTGGCCGGCCTGGCTATACACCAAACGTGCACAGAACTCCCACCAAAGTGGTACTTATTAATCTCCTTGCATTTGCATTTGCTTTTGAACTGCTAGGTGAGCAGGAATGGGGAGATCGCCCCCACTGCATGCACGGACTATCAGCTTCCCAGCTGACAAGCTCAGCATCTTTAACCACTGAGCCATCGTGCCCCCTTTTTCAACATGGAAGAAAGAAGAAAAAAGGAAATGATCAATCCACTAATGGGAGAAGACGCCAAGGAAGTGACGGATAACAGGGAGAAAATGGAACTGCCTAATCCATGTTTGCCTCTGCCCTACCTATCAAAAGCAGTACAGTAGATGGCAGAGTAGGAATACAAGTCAGAATAAGCAAGAAAATGGGAAGACATCCCCTGTGCAGCAGTATGGATGAGTTCGGCCAAATTGATTGCATCCCAAAGTTCTGAAGAAACTGGCAGAAATTATCTCGGAACCACTGGACAAAATCTTTTGAAGCTCCTGAAGAGGAACCAAGGAACTGCCATAGAGGAACGGAAAAGAGCTCATGGGATTCCAACCTTCAAAAAGGGGGAAAAATACTAGAGGCCAATCAACCTGACAATAATACCTGGGAAAATCTTGGAAAAAGATATTCAGTGGATCTGCAAAAACCTAGAAATGAGCAAAGTGATTACTAGAAGCCAATATGGGCTTGTTAAAAACAGATCGTGCCACGTAGTTATTGCCTCCTTTTACAAAGTGACTAAATTAGTGAATCAGGGAAATGCTATGGACATAGTTTACTTAGGCCAGTCAGGCATTTAACAACAACAACAACAACAATGTGGGATAGAGAGCACCACCAGCACATGGATTCACAACAAGCTGAACAACTGTACTTGACACGGAGTCCTCAATGGAACTGTATCTACCAGGACCTGCAACGCCGGAGTGCCACTTCCTGCACCCAAATCCCTTTTTTTCCTGGCACTGCGTTTTGCAGCATCGTTTGAGGCCAATGAAACCGACGTTCTATTCAAGTTGAATTTCTCCCATTTTCTCAGAACAGGTTGTCCTCGACCTATGACCACAATTGAGCTCAGAATTTATATTGCTAAGTGAAGCATCTATTAAGTGAGTTTTGCCTCATTTTACAACTTTCCTTGCCAGAGTTATTAAGTGAATCATTACAGTTGTTAAGTTAGTAACATGGTTGTTAAATGAATCTGATGTCAACTCCCAGCGTTGTATAGTAAGAGAGTGGGGGGGGAGTGCATTCCACACATACTGACGGCTGGTCGGATGTCAGGTTACTGCAGCCGGCTTGGGAGGGAATGTGATTTATGACACAGACTGAGGGGAGGGAAGGAAGAGGGATAAAGTTCAGCTATAAATCAGACAAAGCTTAGACTTGACTGAGAAAAGATCTTGCCTGTAATGCTCCTAATAAATGACTAGCTTTGTATTGAAACTTGACTCGATACTCATGAATCAATTAGGGCATTTTTAGGAAACTTTACATCTGCCTTCCCCATTGACTTTGCTTGTCAGAGCGTCACAAAAGGTGATCGTGTGACCCCAGGATAATATAGATATATATATTATTTTTAAAACTAACAAAAACAAAACAACACGTATAAAAAGCTTTCCTCAATTTCATCATTTGAATTTTGATCAGATGACTGCAATGGTCAAAAGTGTGAAAACCTTTTTTTCAGTGCCATTGTGACTTGGAATGGTCACTAAATGAATTGTTGAAAGTCGAGGATGACCTGTAGTAATAAATAACTTTTTTAAGAAAAGTGCATGAATCTTAAGTAAGGTGTTTCCCAATTCCTGTTTCCACTCAGAACGTCATCAGTTCTGCTCACCAGACTTATTCTTGTACTCAATGTCGAAGCCTGTGATGATGCTGTTGCCATCAAACCTCTGAGTCCACCGTAAGTTCATACTCCGGGCTTTCACTTCTCGGATCTCCAGTTCTGGAGGGTCCGGTGGCTCTGCGGAGGGACAGGAGGGCAGCAGTAAGAAATAGGAAATGCCACCCTCCCCCCCCCCACCATGCACAGCGTACACCAGACCACCAGCCTCCAACCCAGAAAATGCAACAGTTGGAGAAATTAAGGGTAGAGGTGCCGAGAAAGACTTCCACATTCAGTAGGTTTTCTTGAAAATGCAGGTTAAAAGAAGTTTAGCATATTGAACAATATATCAGAGAGTGAATAAACTGAAATTGCATATCCAGCCAATTGCATAAAATATAAAAGCTGAGAGGAAGATAAAGGCTGTTTTGCAAGGTCCCCTGCATGCCAGGCGGTGGCCGGAGGATGGCCGGGACCATTGCTGAGCGCAGTTCCAAAGAGTCGGGTGTGGGTCGCTGAACTCCATTTCCATGGCAGCTCAGTGCAAGCAGGGAAATCGGCCTTGCCTCAGAAGCCCCTGCCCAGCTCTCCCAAGAGACCATGCAGAGCCCGCCCAGAAATGATGGGGGACCAGCAGCTCCCCATCTTCCAAAATCTGGGCATTGTTGGCGGGGTGTGTGTGTGTGGGTGAGGAAGCACCCTTCCATCTCCACTTTACATGTGGATTCCTTGAGAACATCTAGGTGCAGATAGAGGGGTAAAATTTAGCTTAAAAGTTCCCAACAGGGAATCAGATGTAATATTTTAATTATTTTAAAGCCATGTTCATATCATGCTTTCCTCTGGAAATTGTCCATGAAAAAATAGAAAAAGAGCAGAGTTCCTTAAGTTTTTATTGCTAATAGCAGCTTTACTAAAATGTGGTCAGTGTTCTGCACCCCTCAAAGCTCCCTTGTCATAAACTGGGGATTAACCCAGCAGAAGCTATGCGCCAAGGCCCCCAGCAGTCTCTGAAAGGCACCACTGCATACGTGCATACACACCCAACAAAGGCCAATACCTTGTACAGTAAGTTGAATGAGTCCTCGGTCTTCCCCATAGGAGTTGATCGCATGGCAGGAAAAAAAAACAGAGTCTCCTCGTTCAGCAGGCTTGAGCTGTGAATGAAAAGGCAACATCAGCTCAAATCTCAATTCCCTGAAAGGTCTCTGGACAAAGCCGCAAGTTGAGAGAAAATCTTTACAAGATGTTCTATAGATGGCATTTAGATCTCTCATTTGAGTGGTTCTTAAGATATGCCGATATTTTAGCCATCTCGGCTAAGTTTGTGACTTTCAATGCCCATTCTTGAATTGTAGGCAAGTCTTCCTTCTTCCAATATTGCGTCACCAACAGTCTTGCTGCCGTTATTAGGTGCAGAACCAAATTAGTCTCTACCACTGTAAAGTCG